AGTAAGAGAGGGAAGTTTTGAATTATTTGACAAAAAGTTTATTAACTTTTATTTTTTTTTTTCTCTTTTTATAGGTTTCAAACTTATAGAGAAAAATAAAAACGGTAAGTTAAAACTTTGTTATTTGTTATTTTTGTTAATTATGAACGTCTATTAATATTTTTCTATTTATTAATTTTTTTTAGGCATTACTAGTACTTCCAACTTAAAACTACTTGAGTAACTTTAGATAGTAAGGTTTAAACGGGATGCAAAAATTGATTACGAAGATTCTCGCTATATTGAGTATGAACTCCCATAATAAAATTTAAAAGCAATGTGAAAACCTGAGAAAAGAGACAGCCAAGGTAAATTAAAATAGAAATTCAAACGATGACAGTTAAACTTTCCAAATACCAAATGGGAATGAACGTTATATTCACTTGTTCTTTTGCTTTTTTTCTCTATCGCTTCTTTACTGACTTTCATATTCTCTTTTTTAGAACTTCAGCTCTTATCTGGGGATTATTGTACGTGAACTCTCCCCAGGTTATACATCTTTGAAAGTAGAGCTTTAATCGTTAAGGTACCTGAAGTCACCTCTTGCGAAGCATCTAGTATTTTTAATTAAAAGATTTTTAATTTTTAATTTTAATTAATAGGTTCATATTTCGGAAATAAAATCAAAGAAATAATTCTAAGATCTGTCTCTTATACACATCTAGATGTGTATAAGAGACAGGGTTATGGTGGATAAAAGTGTCATCCTTCGGGGTGACCGATATTTTACCCCAACCATAACTATTATGTACTTTTCTTTTTCTTTTTTTAGGCGTCCGTTCTTACAGTCTTTGGACGCATAGATTTTGGTAAGAAATCAATCTTTTTTTTTTTTAAATTCAATTCTCATAACGAAATATTTTCTGACGTTTCATTTTTTCCTTTTTTTTAGTGATTTGTTCTTTGAGCCTGTATGCGTTGGACTTAGGTCTGTCTCTTATACACATCTAGATGTGTATAAGAGACAGGTACATTTCTTTTTATTTTTTTCTAGGTTTTTTTATAGGTTTTCCTTCATTTCAGTTTTCGAACGCTTTCACTTTAGACTGCTAAGGGACGCGTGGAATTTTGGTGAGGAATGGGTTAAAAAAATTAATAATTAATGAAACTGTTCTTTAGGTTAACGCGTTCTTCATTTAATTTATTTTAACGAAGATTTACTAACATTTCATTTTCTTTCTTTTTTTAGATGGGCCTTTTGGATTTCTTTAAACTGTAAATTTTCGGTAAATTTTTTTTTTTCTTTTTTTTTTATTTGACAAACAGTTTCTAACGGGCTTTCTTTCTTTTTTTCTTGTAGATGGTTAAGTTTTTGGGTATTTGAGTTTTTTTAACTTATTTTGATGAACCAACAAATGGTCACTAATGTTTTGTTTTCTTTTTCTTTTTTTAGGCGTCCGTTCTTACAGTCTTTGGACGCATAGATTTTGGTAAGAAATCAATCTTTTTTTTTTTTAAATTAAATTCTCATACGAAAATATTTTCTGACGTTTCATTTTTTCCTTTTTTTTAGTGATTTGTTCTTTGAGCCTGTATGCGTTGGACTTAGGTAGGCTATTTTTTTCTTTGTTNAAATTCAATTCTCATAACGAAATATTTTCTGACGTTTCATTTTTTCCTTTTTTTTAGTGATTTGTTCTTTGAGCCTGTATGCGTTGGACTTAGGTAGGCTATTTTTTTCTTTGTTATTTGTTTAATCAAAATGAATAAAATTTTCACTATCTTGTCATTTCATTTTATTTCTTTTTTTAGACGGCTTCTTCTGATCTTGGCCTCATGATGGTTACTGAAGCTTTGGAACCATATACGAAATCAGGGCTGAACGCACAAAATTAATACAATATTATTACTTCCAAAACCTTTACAACTCAGAATCTGGAGATTATTTGGATCAGGATATTTGGATATTAATGTTACTAATATCAGTAAGAGAGGGAAGTTTTGAATTATTTGACAAAAAGTTTATTAACTTTTATTTTTTTTTTTCTCTTTTTATAGGTTTCAAACTTATAGAGAAAAATAAAAACGGTAAGTTAAAACTTTGTTATTTGTTATTTTTGTTAATTATAAACGTCTATTAATATTTTTCTATTTATTAATTTTTTTTAGGCATTACTAGTACTTCCAACTTAAAACTACTTGAGTAACTTTAGATAGTAAGGTTTAAACGGGATGCAAAAATTAATTACAAAGATTCTCGCTATATTGAATATGAACTCCCATAATAAAATTTAAAAGCAATGTGAAAACCTGAGAAAAGAGACAGCCAAGGTAAATTAAAATAGAAATTCAAACGATGACAGTTAAACTTTCCAAATACCAAATGGGAATGAACGTTATATTCACTTGTTCTTTTGCTTTTTTTCTCTATCGCTTCTTTACTGACTTTCATATTCTCTTTTTTAGAACTTCAGCTCTTATCTGGGGATTATTGTACGTGAACTCTACCCAGGTTATACATCTTTGAAAGTAGAGCTTTAATCGTTAAGGTACCTGAAGTCACCTCTTGCGAAGCATCTAGTATTTTTAATTAAAAGATTTTTAATTTTTAATTTTAATTAATAGGTTCATATTTCGGAAATAAAATCAAAGAAATAATTTCAGTACAAAGGGACAATTACGAATATTCTAGGAACCGCCTGATATATTTAATTATACTAATATATATATATAATGCGAAAAAAACAAAAAGCAGGAATAGACGAAGAAATAGAGAACAAGGAAATAGGGGAGGAGATAGTGCAATGAGGACATCCCGAATTAATTAGCAATTTGATATAATAAAATCTAAATGTGCATTGAAAATATATCAGATATATATTAAATAATGCGTTGTAACATGCAATGATGTCGTTAATATATCGTTACGTAATTGTTCTAATATTTATACGATACTGATAAATACATTATAATAAATCTTTTCGACTTTAATTTGATGTCTTGAAGATTCGTATAATAATATAGTGATAACATTGTAACGATAACTGATGATGTGCAGTTATTTTACCGTTACTTAATGGTAACTGTCTCGTGGCGCATCAATATAGGAATATGAACCATTATAATATTGGTGTTTTAACGATGCCTTATCAATATCATATTGACATCGGAAAAAATTTTATAGTTTCTGCAAAGAAATTAAAGCATTTGAATATTATAAAAAATCAGCAGATCAAGGTTATTTAAATGCTCAATTTGAACTTGGATATTGTTATGATAGTGGAATTGGTACTGAGACTAATAAAACAAAAGCATTTGAAATTTATAAAATTGCGGCTAAAAAAAATCATACTATTGCACAATATAATCTTGGAATTTTATATAAAAATGGTAAAGGAATAGAAAAAGATTTAGAACAAACTATTTACTGGTATAATAAAGCAGCAGAAAGTGGATATGAAGTAGCAGAATATAGTTTAGGAAATTGTTATAAATCAGGAGTGGGTGTAGATAAAGATGAAATTAAAGCATTTGAATATTATAAAAAATCTGCTGATAAAGATTATTTAAATGCACAACTTGAACTTGGATATTGTTATTCTTTAGGAATTGGAACTGAAGTTAATCATGCAAAAGCATTTGAATTGTACACTATTGCTGCTGAAAAAGATTCTCGTGTTGGCCAATATAATCTTGCAAATTTATATGTAAATGGTAAAGTAACTGAAAAAGATGAAGTTAAAGCTTTTACATTATATAAAAAATCAGCTGATAAAGGATTTTTAAATGCTCAATGTCAACTTGGTTATTGTTATGAAACAGGAATTGGTACTGAAGTTGACAATTTTAAGGCGTTTGAATTATATAAAATTGCTGCAGATAAAGGATCATGTATTGCACAAAGTAATCTTGGAAATTTATATGAAAATGGTAAAGGTACTGTAAAAGATAAAATCAAAGCCTTTGAATATTATAATAAATCAGCTGATCAAGGATATTTAAATGCTCAATATCAACTTGGTTATTGTTATATTAAAGGAATTGGAACTGATATTAATAAAGCAAAAGCTTTTGAGTTATACAAAATTGCAGCTGATAAGGGAAGTATTAATGTACAAAATAATCTTGGAATCTTATATTTATGGGGTAATGAAGCTGAAAAAGATTTGGAAAAGGCAGTTTATTGGTTACAAAAAGCAACAGAAAATGGAGTTGAATTTGCATATGATAATTTAGGTATATGTTATGAATTAGGAATAAGTGTAAATAAAAATGAAACTAAGGCATTTGAATTATATAAAAAATCAGCTGAAAAAGGATATTTAAACGCGAAACTTAGTCTTGGATATTGTTATATAAAAGGAATTGGAACTAAAATTGATAAAGAAAAAGGATTTGAATTATATGATAAGATAACTGAAAAAGAAAATATAGAATTTCTTAAATCAATTTATGATAATGAAGAAAATATAATAAGTGATTTAAATCTAGTTAATTATTTAAATAAAAAATCCGCAGAAAATGATAATAATTTTGTATTATATGAACTAGGAAATATTTATGAAATAGGTAAAGGTGTTAATAAAAATCTCATTAGAGCATTTGATTATTATAAACAAGCGGCTGATAAAGGATGTGTAAACGGGAAATATAAACTGGGGTATTATTTTCTTCATGGGATTATAGTTGATATTGATAAAGAAAAGGCCTTTATGTTACTTAAAGAATCAGCTGAAGGTGGAAATGACGATGCAAAAAAAATTCTTGCACAATATGAACAAGACGAAGGTATAGAAAAAGAAATCGATTCCTAAAGAATGTGGTCAACATTTATTCCATTTAAAAACGTCATGAAAAAATTGTTAAGCATTATTACTAAATCATATCGCGTACACCACCATGTGATAGTTTGTTCGATGCACAACTATAAATAAAGTAAATTACGGTATATATATATATACAGTACAATATTATTACAATAAAGCTCAACAATTTAGAACCGTATTTTAGTTTATAAAACTATTAATAAGAAATTCTATCGCCGACAAGTATAGTCGTAAATTTATCCAGATTCAGTGATAGTTTTTTTCATAAACATTTTAACCAAAATTATTATGTGAATTTTGTGAATTTAATTATTTTTGAACTGAGTTTAGTATGATCACATACAATGTTTAGTCATTAAATTACGTAAATAATAATATATAAGGCCATACAAACTTGATTTTATGGTTTTCATAATATAAAAATTTCATCAATAACCCGGCAACCCGGCTTTTAATTTTTTTTTTCAAAAATTTTATATGCGAAATTTTTTTTCAATTTTTAAAAAATTCTCACGCGGCATAGTAATAAGGCCGGGCAAAAAAAAAAATTAGATTCTTGTGACATAAAATTTTAAAATTGACCCGGCCGGCCGGTTTTTTTTTTTATACATGTAAAAATTTTTTATATGTAATGTTTATTATATTTTGTGTAACTTTGTAATATATAAATAAATTAAACTTGATAAATCGACCTTTATCGATCTGTAGATCTCTTTTTCATAAAAAAATATGCCGATAATAATTGTACATGTCGTGTTTAATTCTAAAACAGTATTTGAGTGGGAAGGACTTCCCGTTAATAAAGATATGAACATACAAGAATTTTTTAAAGATGTAGTTGTTGACAAATTAAATCCGGAACTATGGGAGAAAAATTGTGTAGCATATTTTAGTCATACGAAAATAGGTGAAACAGAAAAAATAGGATTGGAATGCAATGCGTGGGAGACTGTAAATCAGTGCGGAAAATATGTAACATTTAAATTACTAAATGATTCTAATGAAATACCATCTATGAATACAATCAATGCATTCGAATTAATGAGATCTGCATCAATGCATAATTATCTTCCAGAATTTAAATTACCGGCAAAAAATTCTTGGGAACAATTACGCATAGATTTAAATGAATTGATTAGAAGTAATGGAGGGGGTTGGATAGGAAAGGATAATGCAAATAATATTGGAAAAAAATTTGTTACTGATTTGGCAAAATCTATTTGGTGCGTTGATATTTGCTCTTATAAAACATTCAATGAGAGATTTAAAATCCCAGCTTTATTTACCAATTTTTTTGATCGAGCACATCCTGAAAAATACAAAAGTTCAAGAAGATCATTTGATTCAGAAGAATTACAACGTCATTATAAGATTTTGATGAATTACATTGAATTACCATGGATGGAAAAACCCAAATTTGCTTGGCTAAAAGAACCTTTACTGCTTTATGCAAATAATCTTTTAAAGTATGCTGAATACTTAATTAGTCAAAGAGTTATAACTGCAAGAAACCAAAGTTCTTTAACACCTGTAGTTGATGAAGAAAAGGCCGGATATATAGAAATTTTGGATGAAAATACATGGCGAAAACCTGAAGTAGTTAAAGAGTTTCGTATTCTTACGAAAACTTTAGAGGA